GGTCCAGGAGGCGGCCAAGGCGGCTTCGGTGGTCCAGGAGGCGGCCAAGGCGGCTTCGATGGTCCAAGGTGGCTTCTTTGGTCCAGGAGGCGGCCAAGGCGGCTTCGGTGGTCAAGGTGGATTTGGAGGACCACAAGGCATGCCCATCAGAAGAATACGAGATGTGCAAGGTACGGATTCCCTTCCAGTTATTTCATTCAATATATGAATTTCTTCCGTACTTTTCCCTAGGTTACTTTTTGGCCTGAGGACGCTTCAGAAATGTTTTCTTTTATTTTAGTTTCCGATAGAGAACGTGAGTGATAGTCTGCGTTTCACACTATGTAACTTTTGCAGAGTTTCAAACACCGAACTCTCATCTTTACTCCGATGAGTACGTGTTGTTTGCTGCAGATGATAGGGGCGTCCGTTTGAGACGGGTTTGGCACGGTACCTGCCCACTTGCATCTGTTTTTCATTCGGCAAGCGGCAAAACTGTGTCTTTTCGTTCGTGACTGGCGCTTTCCAGCAGTTGTTGTTACCTTACCGTTCAAACGAATGGTAAAGAGCAAGCCCAACCTCAGCAGTTTATCCTATTTTTTTTTCTTCCTGCAAGTTGAAAGAGCAGTTCATCTTCTTCGTATCAGTTGTATTCCACGCTGTTGTTGATTACCCGTTCCAACAACTGGTGGACAGAGGGCGCGCCAAACTCATAATCGACACGCCCCCTCACCCACAGCGAACCAGACTGTATAGCAGTGTGTGATATTATGCTCTGAGGTAGGAGCTACCAATATTTCTCAGGCGCTTTCTTTCAGAGAGGTCTCTATAATACGGCAACTGGCTTGGTTAAATGCTCACCTTTCTTTTCTTAGGATAAGCTCAATTGGCAAATGGTTACTAATGATTTGTTTCCAGTGCCCCACAGAGCAGACTACGATGAAGTCTATGGAGGCGGTCATCAAGTGCTGGACCGCGTTCTTCGTTAAAATCAGGAAGCAGTTGGAAAAAGAATTTCATCCATCATAATATGGCATAATAAATCATCTCATGACGATGTGTATTTGTAAAAGAAAAGAGGTACTGAATCCGCTCACCTGTTTTCTAGAAAGCTGAGTTGTAGCAAGACGGTTTATTGGCTTATTGTCAAGAAGAACGTGATGTCCACAATTAGCTGTAAAGTAACCATAAGATAGAAAGATGACAAAAAGCAAGCATAATGAAAGGCTTGGTCATTCGTCAACATTAAGGCCCAACAGTGAGATTATGCCCTGTGGAAGGATCCCCGGGACCAGGCTTTTTAGGGGGAACACTTAACAGGGTGCACCATCGCTACTAAAACCACAACGAGGGAGAGTTGTAGTTGACCGCTAGCGGTTTCCTGTGCAGGGTCAGTCAAAGATGAACCAAGTGACAGTAGAACTTCGGACTTCCTCTAGGACCATAAGAACACACGCACTTCTTCACATGAGCAAAAAGTTCATGGAAGTTACACCTGTCCATCTCTGCGAGTGGGTCAGATGCATAGGGGGCTACTATGACCAATTGATTTAATGAATTATTTCCTACTCAACTGGACGAAATGAACTGTTCTGGGACCGTAATCAAATGCAGTGGATTTACTGGGATTCGCCCTGAGACCCTCGTTCGAAAGAGAGGCTTATACTGACGCCAGCACTTGTCCACAGCGCGATGATGTGCCCTGCTCTGGGAGATTCACTTTAAATGCTGCGCCAGTTTTGGTGCGATTTCCATTCAAGGGTTTCCCCATTGCGTTCATTTCTGAAAATGCACAAATACGCGAAACGGGAGTCTTTCTGCTGTTTACGTTCTACTACCCCGAATTTCCACGGCTTTTCTTGACCAGGCTTTGTTCAGGGGATTATTCGTGGATTTACGAATATTACACCCTTTCATGGCGTCAGTGCCCTGAATGATGCCATATGACGCCAGTCCGTTGCAGGGACTTTTTTTTACAAAATTCATGCAACCTTAGGTTCTTGGGTCTTCCTTGGGTCATGATTGCAGGGTTATTCAGCCGTGATTGAGAATATGATGTTCATTCTTGGAAGAAGCTTTCTCGTCGTGGCTCTTTTCATTGTACTGGTTACAAGCTTCTATTAGATTAGCGGGAAAGTTCTGTCATACTTTTTGAACTCAAAATACTTGCCCATTACCTGAAGAGGGTAACCGGTAATGTGAGCACTTATACATCAAGGATTGATCTTTCTATTAGTACCACTCGCTTGACTCCTGCTTCTTCTTCTGCAATATGGACAAGTATGTTATCCGCTACCATAGACACCGACCCCTCGCTTCCTCAAACTCTTTCTTCTACCACCCTGACGCCCAGCATGACAGCTACCAATGCCAAAATAATGGAGAAATTATCGGACAACCTTCCAGGACGCTAATGCTTCAAAGCGGGAGCCAACAGTTTTGATAACGAAGTGAGGTTTGAGTGGACAGATGAGGGAGCTGCGGGTCGTGAAACTGCTGGATGAAGAAGCTGCTTCCTCGGTCAATGCGTACGCAAAGCAGCTACGAGATCTGAAGCGAATCGTCGATCAGAGGGAAAAATTCGTCCGCACAGTCCGTCTTCAACGTGATGGTGCAGCCCACTCCGTCCAAAAAAGTTCGAGCCGAACCTCATGCAATAGAGCTGGATGGCTCTTCCTTGCACCGGTGTAGCCCAGACATTGCTCCTTCTAACTGCTAGTTGCCTCCCGTACTCAACCGTTATACAGCCGAGAAAACCTCCACGACTTGAGCCCAAGTCAAAATTGAGATGATGTCCAACTTTGCGTCGCGCCGGCCTGCATTGTGAAGCGATGGCATCCATGAGGTGCTCAAAAACTGGCAAGAACCCCGCAGTAACATTGCTGTATAATTTTGATCTTACACGCCTCTCTATAAAAAGAAAGCCCAATTGGAAAGAATATCTCGAAATCCCTGAGATCGGGTGGGCGTGGCTGCATGCTTCAACTTAACCTTAAGCTGTCTATGCTTCTGGTGGACATTTTCATCTTGACATGTCTGATGACGATGTGTTTTTGTCGTGTCTGTGTCCAACACAGAACAAGATGACAGTTGTCCCAGACTGGAATACGAGTTAACCAGTTCCGTGCCATGTTCAAATGCCACGCCTACTCTGGATCAGGGATAAGTAGTGTATGACAGAACTTTCCCGCAACCTAGTATATAAAGGTGATAACAAATATGGCGGCAATAAATGAAAGTCACCTATGCGATTATGTACTTCATTAGCTTTGAATGTAAGGTTGGGGCTTTGGAAGTAATGTATTAGTTTTGAGAGAAAAAAAATTTAGGAGGGGAGGATATCGATGAGCAGCGTATAGACAGGCGATGAAACACGGGAAACAAAGACTCAGACGAGCCATTCCAAGCCGCAATAGTTTGACCAGTGTTGCGATGTTTTGAAAAAAAATGCATGGGTTGCAATGTAGTGATATTCTTTTATTTACTTTTTGACTTGACTTTACTTTTGATATTCTTTTGTGAGTATATCATCTTTCAAAGTCGGGACGGGTAAAAATGAAGGCAATTCGCAAAAGGTTTAATATTACAAAATTGTTCAAAACTGCTGTGTGAAATCATGGAAGAAGCATCAATAGTAAAGCAAAACTTTCGTAATAGGGTTCCCTAAAAACGGAAGATCTTTGGTAAAACACGCAAAACGGGATATGGGAGGAGCGAAACAGGATCAAGAAGGAGTACTTATACATTGAATTGTATCATTATCATTGTCAAGAACGCATCCTGGATGAACGTTGCAACGCTTTTCATCCTTGCTGTGCTAGTTTGCATAGCATCAACCCAATGGGGCGGTTTTCAAGGAGGACAAGGTGAGTAATACTTTGATGTGTGACATCTGCAATCTCCTTCCGTTGAATTTCATTAACTTGGCTGCTTTTCAAGGAAGACTGTCAAGCAAGACGAAGATCGATTTTAGAAGAGTTGGAGCCATCAAAATGTCGGCTACGTTGTACCCGAAAATCCTTAAAGGCCGTTGGCACGATAATTTGGTGCTCGGCCAAAAATGCTAGTAAGGAGCTATTAGGTTGTCCGGAAAGTTCTCAGCGTTTTGGGTGTTTCACTTTAAACGATCGTAACTTTTTTAATACTCATCGGATTTAATCGAAATAGGCACCATTCGAATCAGCACACTTTTGCCAATGTGACAGCAGTCGAGAAATCCCATCAAAGTAAAAAACTGGGTGGTCGAAAATTCACGAAATCCACGAAGGCTTTTTTGCCTGGTCCTGATTGATGAAGTATTTTCCAGCAAGGGAGTTCTGAAAATGTTAGAAAAGGTGATAGTCGGTTGGCGAAAGGTCTGAAGAATATGGCGGTTGAGGTAGAACTTCAACCCCCAATTCGTTCAATTTATGGATAGTGATTTGTGAAACGTGTGGGCGGGCGTTGTCATGCAAAGGAATCGGACCCTTTCTTTTGATAAGTGTTGGCTGCATCTGACAAAATTTTCGGTACAATTCGTCGATTTCTTCACAGTAGGGTTCTGCTGTGATGGTTTGGCCTGGTGATAAAAAGTTATAGTGGATCACACCAGCCGATGACCACCAAGCCGTGACCAGAATCTTTTTTCGTGAGGGTTCGGCT